AGTAAGGGAGGGATAGAAATTATTTCAGTTTAAAGATGAATAACATAGTAGGAGGGCAGTGTGTTTTTTCTAATTTATTTGAGTACTTCAGTGTTAATGTTGTTAGACCATATTGGTACGAGAGAGATCCACTGTTTAACACCTATGAGACTGAACATCAATTTTTTTTACTAACATTGATGTTACTTCACTGAATACAAACTTTATAAAGCAGAACTATCCTGATCTATGTGCATTTTGTTTATTTTATATATAACCTTGAAAAGTATTTATCAAATGCCTTCCAAAGGCTAAAACTATTATAAGCACTGGGGGCCCAGTGATGAGAGGAGAGTCATAGCAGTGTCCTCACAGTGCTTATCATCTAAAGCAGCACTGTCCAATAAAAATATGATATGATCCACACATTATTAAAATTTTTCTATAGCCACACTAAAAAGTAAAGAGCAGGCACAGTTAATTTTGGTACTGTATTTAGCCCAGTAATTTCTAAAATATTGACATTTCAACAGATAATGAACATAAAAGTTTTTGGAATACATTAAATTATTTTTTCAAAGTAAGTCTCAAAATTTAGTGGGTATTTTACATGTATTGGACCTCTCAATTTGGAGCATGCATATTTCAATAGCTTCATAGAGACAGGTGTGTAGTGGCAACTGAATTGGACAGTATAGGTCTGGGAGAAAATTTAAATAGTATGCAAGCAATAACAACACAAATGCTATAACAGGGGAGTGCAGTGGTACAGGAGCACATAGGAGAACATCTTAACTAATCTATGTAGGTCTAGAAAAATCTTCCTGGAGGAAACAACATTTCAACGAAGCTCAAAAGGATGAGTTGGCTTTAGCCACAGGAAAGGGTACAGGTAGAAAGAACACTTTAACATTAATGTTAGTTCAAAGCCTGTGACTGATTATGGTGTACTGGAAAGACTACAAGAAATTTAGTATGTCTAGATTAGATTATGGGGAGTGAGAAAGATGAAAATAAAAATGTAGGTAGAAGGCAGTTAATGAAGAGCTTTGGACCTTATTCTAAGGTACCCATCCTTTCTAAACCTTTAGGCCTATATTTATGGAACTAGCAATTTCAGACTGAAATGTGCTCCTCTTCACTGAACTACAAAAGGGTGTAGGAGAGATGAAAATCAGTAAGTTAACATTAGATGATCATTTATTAGAGTTGATGAAGAGTCTAGTTCTGGATTAAGTGAGTCCTTTAGACCTTTTCAACTTACATTTAAGAATAAAATTCTCACTGTTTTAGAATAGAAATTATGCTTAACAAAATGTGGTTGTTTATAAATTATTTTTGGAAGGAATACTATATAACACTCTATAACACTCCATATATGCTAGATATTTATATTAATATTTCTGACCTGTCATTCTGAATACTGTATCTAACAGTGAAGCTCTGTAGGTTGCTTTGGGAATTATCATGTACTACTGATTTGGTCATTTAAAAAGCAATTTATGGTAGTTGTTAAGTGTTCTGTTCCAACTTAGAGCCTTGAGCCTGTCTTCTGGAACTCCCATGATTCTGAAGAGTACTCAAAGTGTAGTTATTTGTACCAACAAAAGACACTATGCTTTAGGTTTTACAAATTACAGCTTAATTACCTAAATTGTTATGTAATTCCATGAAGTATATTGTTATTACAAGTATGGTAATCTTCCTTGTCCTAATGGATTATTAGCTTTTTGAAAGCAAAGTAATTATATTCTATCAGTATATCGGTTTTACTATGTGTCAGTAACTGTAGTGTATTTCCTAGAGTGTCTGGTAATCTTGAACATATTTAATATGACTTTATCAGAACCAGAGAAGAATTCAAATATAGCCACTGCATATCATAGCTTGCCAAAATACATATTCGTATTTGTTTAGGATATTGCTTAGGAACTGTACTGGCTTAAATGGTGTCCCTCCAAATTCATGTCTACCAGGAACCTGTGAATGTGCCTTTATTTGGAAATAGTCTTTGAAAATATAATCAAGTTAAAATGAGGGCATATTGGATTAGGATAGTCCTGAATACAACATGGTGGTTGTCCTATAAGAGGGAAATTTGGACACAAAGACAGATGCACAGGTAGTACACTATGTGATGATGGAGGCAGAGAGTACTGCTTATATTGGCCAGGGAACACCAAGAACTGCAGGCAACTACCAGACACTAAGAATAGTCGAGGAAGCACTTTCCCCTATGGCCCTAGCCATCACCTTGATTTGGGATTTCTACCCTCCAGACTGTGAAAGGTTAAATTTATATTGTTTTAAGCCACTAAATGTGTTTGTTATGTACTTTGTTATGGCAGCCCTAGAGAAACCAATATAAGAATCTTTCTAGACCCTCCTTTGCTTCTCCGTATTTCCTTTATGAAACAGCTCTCCAAAGAAACTTCTATTGAATGGACTTGGCAGGTTAATCCATTTCTCTGTTAAAGAAATGGTCTTAGGGTTGTATTTTACTCTCTACCGTTCCTATATAGTACTGCTCCCACCAAAAGAGCTGTCACTTAGAGCGCAGAGCACTTACTACTGCCATTACATGATTTAATCAAGTATTACAAGCTGGTGAAATATGAATGCAAAAGGAAAGACAACTGCTGTTTCTATTAAAACAATAGAGACTTTGGAAACTACTTGATAAAGGTGATAAAAGTACAATCAAATTAAGAATGGGTGAGATAATTACAAAAGTGAAATATTTATGAAAATCTAGTAAATATGCTCATTCAGAATGCTTTGTAAGTACCTTTAAATTTTTATTTTATTTTAATAAAAATAAAAACAGAGCTTATATAGGATATGCCATGGGCGGGGTTTATGTGGTTATAGGTCCTATAAATATCTACTTGTATCAACTTTTTCCATTAGACACTTCAGACTAAAGGATTAAAACTTCAGACTAAAATAAATTAAGAGTGTTTCCTCTGTAAGTACAAGTTTATTACTCTATGTTTTTATTTAATCACGTAATAGTCTGTAAGCTTCATGAACACAGAGGATCTATCTAATTTGTTCCCCATTCTACTTTTAGTACTCAGTATAATAACTGGTATATACAGCTGCCTCTTTCAGAATATTTTTTTCAATGAATGAGCACAGAATGGGAACCCATTTTCTCTGTTTTTCCCTTTTCCAAAGAAATATCATCAAAAAGCTGTACTATTAAGGGCTGATTTGAGCCCTAAAAGTGAACTCATTATAGAGAATTTCATCTTTTAGTGGCATTTACAATGGGGCGTTACCTATATAAATATTCTCATTTTTACAATACCATTTGTCATAGCCTTTTCCAAAATTATCCAAAGAATTATCATCAAAAAGCTGTACTATTAAGGTCTGATTTGAGCCCTAAAAGTGGACTCATTATAGAAAATTTCATCTTTTAGTGGCATTTACAATGGGGCATTACCTATAAAATATTCTCATTTTTACAATACCATTTGTGATAGCCCTAATGTTTTTTACATTACAGTCTTTTGGAAATACTTTAATTATTTAAGTATTTTAAACCCTCCCTGAGCCTCAGTTTCTTTAGTTATCAGATGAGGTTTTTTGACTGAACAATCTCTATGATGCCTCCTAACACCGAATCCTCATTTTCAGCACCAGAAAATTCTGGATTTTCTTATGAATAAAAAAATATGACTTCTCCTTGCTCTTTTTTAATAAAGGATACAGAGAACAATACACATAGCTAGTTAAAGAATGATAGAAAGGATAAGGTGGAGATGTGTTAATGAGTATGGAGTAGGAAGAAAGAAAGGGACATAGTGAATTAATATCAGCTTGCTAGTATAACTTTTTGGGTAAATATACCATGGAATATTTCATTCTTATATAACCCATAAGAATTTTGCTTTTACTTGCCTTAAGAAATCTCAACAGTAAGTTCAAAGGGCTGAGGTATACAATTAGAAAATTAAAGACTTAGTCAACTCTTCATATTTTACTATAACTAAGTAGAATGCAGTTTATTAAATTAGTCATAAATCGATTGCTATATGATCTCTAAATCATCTGAATGAATCTATAATTAAGTTTTATTCTTTAAAACTGTAGGTAATATTAAAATTGAGGCAAATAATATCAATTTCTTTTTATAAGCTACACAAATATTCTTTTTTTCTACTTCTTTAGCTACTTAAGTAACTTAATAGGAACTGTTGAAAAGAAATCTTAATATATTTGGTAAATAAAAATGATGTAGGATTTCAGATGGTCCAACAAGACAAAAAATTTAACATTGGAATTCTGTTAAATGACTTGCAGAAGTTGTATTTTCGCCTTGGAAAACTTGCATCATGGAACACAGCTGTGAACAACTTTGGCTTCAAACAGAAAGGCTATAATAAAGCGTCTCCTAGCTAGACTTCAAGAGGTTTATGGTTCAAGAGGTTTATGGTGGCAAAAACAGCAGAGAAGATGAAATGTTTCAATAAGCCCCTCAGGCTGATTTAGTTAGCATTCACAAGGTGGAATAACCTATACATCACATACCCTTTGTTAGCTAGTTGTTTAGAATAGATGTATGAGTCACTGGATTTTATTTTAACAGTTGGGCAATGCAATTCTCCTTTTGCCCAAAATATTAAAATGCAGAAATGTGAAATTAAGAGAGGTAATGTTATTTCTTGTACAGGATGCTTATCAACCACTGTGATAGATCAAGAAATTCTCCTGCTCCTGTGATTCCATATTTCACCTTGGTAGGCACAAATGATAAATTACCTTACATCAAAAAATATATATATTATTAAACTAATCAGCAAACTACACAGTATATTTTTTTAAATTGTGTTGGGGAGAGGTGTTGGGAGGGAGAAGCTTACAAAACCAAAAGAAAGCTGGCATGAGAGAAGGACAGGAAAGATTCTATCCTACATAATTTCCTACAAGTACAAATGAATCCCTATGGGAATTTGGGGAATTAATATATATCTTTTTTTCTCTCAGACACTGTTCAGACTTAATGAGGGTACCTGCGACAATGCTGGCAAGCTGTTGGGTTCTGGTGATGGGGTAGATGCTGCGTGCCTGAACGATTGCTGAAGCGATTTTCTTGGCGTGCTTCTCCTCCCCGTATGTTCTCAGGATGGATGCAAGTGCCTGTTGATCTAAAGCGTTAACAGCATCAGCTGCGGTGGGCATGTCAGGGTACCTACACACAAGGAGAACCAATTAGTTCACTGTCATCAGTTTTCAATGACAAGAGGTGAAACTTCAGAATACTGAGACACAAAGTCAGTCATACACACATAGTCTAAGACAGCGTCTGAGGTTTTTAATGTCAGAGACTGAACTCCCACTAATGAAAGAGGTTTTCCATTTCAAATACCCTTCATTATGGCAAGTGGGTACTGTGTGTGACACTCATCAAGGTCAAGGGCAGCAGCCAGTTAAAATATTTCACTAACCTTTAATGCACAAGGAAGTTTTTATTGCTTGTGCAGATTTTCCCTAAAATAAGGGGAAATGTTTGGATTTACTTTATTCAAAATTTAAATTATTGCTTGAGTTTTTTTTCCCAGTACAGAAGATACAAGGCTTACTGACTCATATTTAAATGAGCCTAGATCTCAGGAAATTAAATCTGAAACTGCAAAGTAACTTGGGTACAAATAGAGCCTAGACAGTCTATATAAGATATGCTGGTCAGTTTCCCTCATAAAAACTAGTACAATCTTAATGGTAATAATGTGTACTACTACAATTGTTTAACAGTATTGGCTTACACTCTCCTGACAAAAGTCACCATGGGGTAAAATTTAGTAATATGCAAACAGTACTAAACAAGCCTAAGATGGTAATTTCAGGAGGAGGAGACAAAGAAATAACAAACACTGGACAAAGAGAAGAAATCATAGTAGCAGGAAATACTGCCAGATTATTCCAGTTTACCTTACTTTAGGGAAATAGGTGAAGGAATTCTAAGTGATGAGCTAATAGAGATCTTACTCATTAGAAAGATATCTTTATGAATAGGACAGTTACTGCCTTTGCAGTCAATATGTTGGATTGATTGTTGGCAATATACCATGAGGACTAAGTAACAAGGATATGATAGCTCTAAGACGTAAGGATCAAACCAAAGTGGAGTTGCCAAGAAACACTTGAATCTCTTCTTAAAAGTACTATACTGTGCCTTGTTAACATGCCTAGTGCTTCCAGGAGAAAATCTTGCTATTGTTCTTGGCTTATCTCCTATGTTGCCATGACCTCTCTCTTTCTCTCTCACTTTTTGTCAAACTTTGCTTTCCAGACTGTGTAATTATTATTATTTTTTTTGGGTACCAAAGCACCACCAGACCAATGAACATCCAATAAGATAGCTCTCCATGCTGTTCCCATCTCTATAGGCTTTTTTCCTTCAGTAATAGGTTTAAGGATAAATATTTGGTCTTAAGAGTCAGAATCCTGGGTAAACCTCAGTTTCTAACTCATGAAATCAAAGTAACTGCTTACCTCACAGAACTGTGAGAATTAAGGGTCATGCAATTGTAAAATAGATAGTATAATGCCTGGCACATAGGAAGCTCAATGAATGTCAATGTCCCTTAGATCTTGACTATTTCTAGATCTGCCAATTGTCCTTCTTTGCCTAACTGACAAAATCCCTACTAGATATTACCTAGTTGTGAATTCAGCCACTTAAATCACTGAGCATAAGAATGAATCTTATCAATGATGCCATAGAATATAGTCCAGCTCTACCAGGACAATTCTAAGATTATAAAGGATATATTTAACAGTTTTTTATAATACCTTTCTACTTTTAAGAATATTAAATCAGCATTTTGCTCACATATAGTTCATTGGAAAATGGGCATAATTTTATCTTCTGATCATGTTAATATTGAACAGCAGTATAGAAGTTTCCATAGTGCCACCAGACCAACAGGGCAACAATCTGGAAAGCTAAAAGGCTCCTGGGCTTCAGAACAGGCATTTATGTAGTGAAGTGAAGATAGAAAATCTAATTCCCAACTTAACAAGTTAAGAGATCTTGTCAGTCCTCCAGAGATCACTGAGTTACAAAGGCTACACTTACAATAGAAAGAAAATATTAACGTGTAAGTGGCAATTTAATTATTTCCCTCTAACACAACTGACAACACAGCCACATTTGTAAATCCTTGAAGCTGTGATTTCTTTCCGCTACATGAAACCTTATTTTAATCTGAAACCTGTTGCTGAAATTGGGATAGCACAGAATGAACTGTGCTATAAGGTTCTTGAGTTAAATGGCAACAGGTTAAGAAAGCCCCTTACATCCATCTTCATAACATCCATAAATCAGCCCCAGGATCTTATCTACCATATTTTTTTGGCTTAGATTCCCTCTCCCCAAACATCACTTGGATTAACATTGTACATATTTTCATCTCTGACTCTTCTTTGTCTATGAATTCATGTGAAGCCCCTTTCTGAATGCCATATATTTTCTTCATATTTGTGAACATCTTTGATTAGGTTACAATCTATGCTATCTACCTGGAAGCCACCCTGCTTTTTAAGGTACATTTGCTCAACTCTAATCTCATCCATTATGGATTTAGAATTTAATCCTCAAGGACAATCCTATTTTCAGGTTCATAGGTGAGAACCTCAGGAACCCTGATTCACAGAATACAATTTGCTGGTAAGTCTTTACATTAACAATATAGGGTTTACTCTATGAACTAGAAGGTTTGTTCATTTTAACTTCAGAAGGCATCCTCCTCAGCAAGACAGGAACAGCAGACATTTGCTTGACATTTTATTACACCTGCACAACAACCTCAATCTCCAAACATGAGAAGATATTTGACCTTTGGTATTAGTCACTGGTTTTTAAAAGATTTTTATTATTTTATTTTTATGATCACACTCTTCATTCTATGAATGCCAACCTGTGTAATGAAGGTATAAGTCTCAGAACAAAAAGGTTCCAACAAGTATGGGTCACAAGTTAACAGGTCATATGAAAATGTGGGGAAAAGGCTGTATGTAATTAATTACCATTGGACAAGGCAGTTTGCGAGAAAGAAGTCAAAATCAACTCAATATTAACTTGCTGACATAAACTAGACATTAAATTTCTTATCTAAAGGTCCTCCTAATGGTTTGGAAGAAATTGTGGACAACCTATTTGTTTCCGTAGAAATGTTTATGTAGGTCTAGAATTGCAGATTAGTAACAGCAAAAGAATGGTTTGCATACTTAGATATAAGAGAATCTAACATTCTTTTTAGAAGGTAAGCTTCCCAAAAGTAGGGGCCGTGATACATAATTTGTTGATGGAGGTGGGAATGAGGGCATAAAATGAAGGAGAAAATCATAGTTAAGCTTTGTAGGTACAGGCTGTTCAGTCCCTGGGCCAGAGTTGGGCATACATACAAGCACTATTCTAAGCTTTGAAAATTAATTTAATTTAAAAGAAATTATCCTGTACTTTCCTAGAATGTGATCCTCTTTGTGTTATTTAATATGTATGTACCTATTTGAATAAGAGAGAACAAACATTAGTATTTCTAGGGTGGTGAGGAAGGAAGAAGAAATGAAAAGCTGTCCGATGCACAGCAGTATGTTTGATATAGTACTCTAAATTGTAGTTTCTCTGGAGAAGGTTAAACCAAAATGACTGTACAAAAGAACAGGACAAAACACATAATTTTGTTAATCTCTAGGATCTTGCCATTTATATAGTATTCAGAAGAATATACATTAAATATAGTTCCTTTTACTTCTTACAAGATGCAAAGTTGGGCCTGCATGAAAATGGACCCACTGTTTCAGTATCACATTCATCAAAATTGTTAGTAGTTTAAAAGCTCACATTGTACCTGCAAAAAAGACAATCAGTATGAAAGTTATCCTCTTCACTATTCTGTATAAAGACAGATACGATTTTTCCTTAGAATCCCAAATCTACAGAAACACTAAAGTCTATAATGAGTAGTAAACAAAACTGATTGATTATATATGGATAGTGTTAGGTGCTGGGCATATGATTGGAATTCTGCAATGTTAAAAGAAAATTACATTGAGAATGTTTCTGAGAAATTGATTTCTTGTAAGGAGAATGCTTTATCGATACTCACCTGCCACCATCCATTCTCATGTCCAAAGGGCCATCCTTCCGAAGGGAAAATCCTCTCTCAGGAGCATCAAGTTGCATGGAGGAACAACCAAGATCCAAAAGAACTCCATCCAAAGTCCCTGGTTGCACTCCAGCTTTCATTAATAAGGCTTCTGCCTGGCTGAACTGGCCTAGCATAGCTCGGATCTGTTTACTGTGAATAAACCCAGGAGATGGAGAAAATACTTCTGTTATATTAATGTCTTTCCTAAAGTCTAAGATCAATTGAAGGGAACATATCCTATTACTAGTTTATTTAACCAATATATATTTACTAAGTGACAATGCTTAATACTAAATAAAGACATATGGATATAGAAACTCTACAACTTTGGTCTCAACATAGAGGTGATTTACTGTAATTATGACTTAATGTAATTTTATTCTTACTAATATTTTGTGAAGGTATACAATAAGTTCATGAATTAGAAAAATTCCTTTGTCAGACCAGGTCCTTCATTTTTTTTTTTTTTGAATTATTACATCTGTGGGTTGGGAAAAAAAGAACACATGCCATTCCATCAAAAGAATAAAGAAGGGAAGCTTTGTGGATTGCTGGTGTGAATGTAAGTTGGCATAGCCACCACAGAAAACAGTATGGAGGTTCCTCATAAAATTAAAAATAGAACTACATTTTTGTACGTCTGGAAATATATCCAAAGGAAATGCAAACACTGTGTTGAAAAGATATCTATACCCAAACGCTCATAACAGCATTATTTACAATAGCCAAGACATGGAAAAAACATAACTGTCCATCAATGGATGAATGGATAAAGAAGTTGTGGTATATACACAATGGAGTATTACTTGGCCATAAAAAAGAAAAATTTGCCACTTACAATATGGATGGACCTTGAGGATATTACATTAAGTAAAATAAGTCAGACAGAGAAAGACAAATACCATATGACATGTGGAATCTAAAAGAGAGAGAAAATCAAACTCACAGAAAAAGAAATCAGATTTGTGGTAACCAGAGTGGGGGGGGCAGGGAGGTTAGGAAAAGGGAATTGGATGCAGATGTCCAAAAGGTACAAATTTCCAGGTAAATAAGATAAATAAGCACTAGGGATATAACGTACATGATGACTGTATTTAATTCTGCTATATGATATATAAGAAAGTTGTTAAAAGAGTTGATCCTATGAGTTTGCATCATGGAATAAATTATTTTTTTCTTCTTTTGTATCTATATGAGATGATGGATAACTAAACTTGTGGTAATCATTTCACAGTATCAGTAAGCAAATCATTATGTTGTAGACCTTAAACTTTTATAAAGCTATATAACAATTATCCCAATAGAACTGGAAGAAAACAGAATAAAGTTAATGAGCAAGCCAATTCAAAATACAATAAATAATAGAGCAGAAATTACTGAAAAAAGATGTGTCAAATATCTTCAAGCCAACCATTTTAGCTTTCTCCACATTTTTCCTATAAGTTAGGATAGGGGTGCTGTGCAGTGGCACACTTGAATAAAACTATGCCTAAAACAAATGCCTTCTTGCAGAGGGAATGTTTTAGCTCTTTGCAGAGATTTTGAAGTGAATGGAATATTCAGAATCAACAGACAGGTAAGGAGTAGGGATCACCTTGCAGCTATACTAATTCTCCTTCCTACACAGAGTGAGATGCTGCCTTCAGGGTTCTTCAGAAGCCTTAGAGCAACTGGCATGCATTTTGGAAAAGGAATGAGAAGAGAAAAATTGGGCAATGCCATCAAGTCCTCATTCCCTCTGTCTACAGGTAGGTGGGTGAGTATGAATTTCAACAGTGTTGGGAAATTCATATTTATTATATTTACTAATGTGTTAGTTGTTTAAGGAGAACTTCACAGTTCACCGGTTAATTTTTTCTCAAATTCTGATGGAGAGAGTGATTTTCAGATTCACTGATCAAATATTGATTAAACAGGTATTATGCTATTCAACATTATATAAAGACTAATAAAGCATGGTTTTCTGAGCTCTGAGCTGAAAGAAAGAAATGTACAAATAAACAGTTTGCAAAACAACCTGATGGGTGCCAGTCATAGAGAAATAAAGTGCTATGTCTGTATTTGGAAAATATAAAATGAATGCTAATGCTGGCACTGGAAACAGAAATAACAGAATCCTGTGAATGGAAGGCAACTCACAAATTATTTACCCCAAATATTTAACTGATGTTTGAATCTTTTTCTTCTTCACCATCACTGATCGTGTATGTGTGGAGGTGGGAATAAGAGTCATTGTTTTCATCTCCTCTCATTCAGCTCATTGGTAAGGGAGGGATTCCCATTTGAGGATTATGGAAATGACCCCCACACAGTACCCAACACTATAGATGAGATTGACAGGAGTTTATTAATCAGTATGTTCATAAGCCCAGGAGAGGAAGACACCACATGCCATGCCTGTCTACATGGGGGTAGTACTAATGAAGACAGTGGACAACCAGAGACTATGGGAAGCAAGTTTTGTAGTATCAAGAGAGTAAGGTACCCCTTGGTTCCCATGAGAGAATGTGATTGGCTTGTTTGAATAATTTCACTGGCTGGCAGGGAACTGAAACCTGCTACTCAGGGATAAGCAGATACTGTGCCTGATCCCTTTGACAAGGAAGGTTGTTTGGCTAAAGAATCTTATCTGTCGGAACATAGTGGGGAGAACTTGTGGGAAGGCCATTCAAGACTCTCCTAGTTTTCCCCAGATGTCAACAACATATAACATTGGGCTTTAACTTTGGGCCTTAAACCACAGTCATCTAGCTTGTGTTTAAACATTCCCAGTAATAAGAGCTCACTAGTGTTTCTTAGCCAGTTCATTTTTTGTTAAGTTGATAGCTGTTTCCTCACTGTTCATATATCTTTTGTCCCTTTTTCTGGTATCAGTCCCTGTAAAACAATTAAAAACCTGTAACCCATGGCAGCCTCTTACATATCTACTATTAGGAATCGTAAGGGATATTTGTTGGCTACGCTACTTCTTTGGCAATCTCTCTGTTCCAAAAGGACCTCAAAATTTCAGCCATGTATTTTGGGAGAAACTGAGCATAATCTATGCTGGTTTATGGATCCCCTTGACTAGACTATAGTATCCGGTTATTGAATCAAACACTAATCAAACACTACTATATATACTAGTAGACTATAGTATATATAGTCTAGTAGACTATACTACAGTATTCAGTTACAGAATCAAACACTAATCTAGGTGTTGTTGTGCAAGTATTTATAGATTTGGTTAATACTACAGTCAGTTCACTTTAAATAAAGGACATTACCTTCAATAAGGTAAGTGTTATTCATCAAATCAGCTGAAAGGCCTTAGAAGCAATAACTGAGGTTTGCCAGAGAAAGAAGAAATCCAGCCTCAAGACTGCAATATAAGCTCCTGTCAGAGAGCTTCCAGCCTGCTGGCCTGCCCTACCAATTTCAGGCTACATACAGGCTACAATTTCAGGCTATATACATACACATACATCTACATAAATATATATGTGTGTGTGTGCATGTTTATTTTCTACTAGATCTGTTTCTCCTGAGAATCCTGACCAATATAATACCTTAGCTCGAGAGGTGGATTTCTGATTAGTTAGACAAATATGCATACTTTGTTCCCTGTAATCTGTTTTGAGATTGCCATGTGTCACAATTCTGGCCAATGATACAAGAGATATTTCCTAGGGATTTAGGAACACAAAGTTCTTTTTCCTTCCAGTGAGATGTTGGAGAAAAAAGGTTTTTCAGACTCACTTGATCTGAAAAGCAGCACACAGCCCTGATTATTGCCAGCACATATTTTGGCCTCAAGAAGGGAAAGGTGGCAGACAGTTCTGGTCAAAACTAAAAAGCAGAAAGAAAGGTTAACCAGACCACTAGACTGAGACTAAAATTCAACTTGTCTCTGAATTTTTGAGTGACAGAAGCCCACTAAGTTACCTTTGTTATTAAATCCAGTTTGAGTTGTTTTTTCTTTTACTTGCAATGGAAAACATCATTATTATTGCTATCATGCTCCTCATGTCTTCCTTTCTCTAAACCATACAAGTCTTCTTTCTTCTGCTGTTCTCCATATAAAAAAATTTCTCAGCATGCTAGTTGCTCTTTTCTGAATGTGTTCCAGTTAGCATATATCCTATAATGATCAGTACAGAATGAAGAAAATTCTTATCTTTCTTCTTCTAGTTTTTATATTAATACCTCTCAAGATCAAAATAGTATTAGAATTTATTTCATACTGCTGACTTATGCTATCTAATATCCTTGGGTCTTTTACATGTATATTGTTGTATCCTCCATACTATACTTTTGTGATTTTGTTTTGTTACTTTAGATCTAAGTACAATTTCTGCTCTACACATTTTCTACAACCCTTTAGGGTCCAGGTATTATCTTTAACTACAGAAATTTTCTTTACACTGCAGTAAAAGCCTCAAATATATCACTATGGCCTAGTCTTAATTCCTTGGACTTTAGAGCTATTATTCTGCTTGAAACTGATATACTTGTAAATTAAAAATAATATCTTCTAGTGGGTGTTTTTTCATTCCTAGGTGCCCTCAAATGTAACTGTTTAGCACACAATACTCATACAGTTTTATGCTTCATTATGAGTAAACAATAAAAATATAAGCCTTGTGATATAAAACTCAGTGAATGATATAAAAGTAATAGAATATTGTATGGGGGAAAAAGTAAACATGAGGCAATACCACAAGGTAAATCACATGTTCAAGGCAGTTTTCTGATGTTCTTTCAGTTACATGTTTCTAGAATTAGATTGTTCTCACAGTAAAGAAACCATCCACAAAGTTTACTGACCTATCAATCGAAATAGCTTTAAGTTCAGACCCTGGGGCAATATCTCATATATGAAAACTTAGTCGCTTAAAACTATAATCACTTATCAGCTCATTTTATGTGGGCTAATAATTTGGGTTTGGTTTGGTTGGGTGAGTCTTTTGATAGTGGATTGTCTATGGCTTAGTTGGTTGCATATGGCCTCACATGTTGGGAAGTTGGCTGGAGTAAAGACAATGATTGGACCATATGTCTCTAGCATTTAGCCAGCTAGCTCAGGTTTCTCCAGAGTGGTCTGGTTCCAAGGCAGGATACCTCAATACATAAGCATTTCTGAAATTTCTGATCATACCCCATTTTCTAAT